TCATTAAAGTTATCCTTACTGATCTGGGCATGGTGGCACATACCCATAATCCCAGCCACTTAGAAAGCTGAGGCAGGATAATCAAAACTTTGGGGCCAGCCTAGGCAATATAGTGAGACTTTTGTGTGAAAATAAAATTTTAAAAAGGGCTAGAGATGTGGCATAATAGTACAGCATTTGCCTGACAAGCACAAGGCCCTGAGTTCAATTCTTAGTAATTCCCCCATACATAATTATTCTTACTGAGCTTACTCTCACAGTATACAATCAAATCTTATGAACTACCTGCACATATATAAAATGAACTGCTCTGCATTCCACCAGAAGCACCTAGCTTTGAGAGTACTCTTTTCATTGAACAGTTGTTCAAATGCATTTATAGTTCCTGGGCTCTACACTAAGGGTCAGAAAAGCTGCCAAGCATCGTAACAATGACATCATGATTGAGAATACAGGCTCTGAATGCAAAATGTCTGGCTTCAAATACTGGGTACACTATGAACTCTGTGATCTTGGCCACATGATTATTAAATCTGTGTCTTTGTTTCTTCATCTACAAAATGAAAAGAACAGTATGTATAACTCAAAGGGAAGATTGAAGATTAAATAAACTACTGTACACTCAGCTAGTGCCTGATCCACAGCAAGTACTTAATAAATTTAGGAGCTATTTTTGTCTTCATCAGCCTAAAGGGGAGCCATACCTTCTGACGTAATTAGGACTCAACTGTCACAAAATTAGATATGGAGGGTGATTCTGAAAGCACTCTCTCTTTAACTCTGAGCTCCAATATGCTGTATTAGGTAGAGGAAAACGAGAAGAGCACCTCACATTGTATCTTACACATAGAAAGAATTCAGATTATTTGTTGATGAATGAACACAGGCAAACTGGAGGAAAAGCAGAAACTCTAGGGAACAACTTTTCAGGGCAAACAGCTTTTCCTCCTTTGGATGATGGCTGAAAAGGGGGAAACAGATTGACTGAGAAGACCAATTTGAAATTCTTTAGAGCATCGTAGCTCATTTCACTATAGTTATAAAGGGAATCAACAGAATATTACTTATTATGTGTTAGTAGGAGAAAATCTTGAACAATTTAAAAAAATGATTTTTAAATACTTGGCAAATGGAAAAAGAAATGAAGAGGATTTCTGATGGTGATATAATTAATTTCTGTTTTGCTTTAAGGAAGAGAAAAAGGCAGAGATAGGTAGTTAACAATTTATCTCCCTGCAGAAACATCAAAGGGATTTCTGTTGAAACACCACAGATGAAATAACTATAGCACAATGTTGTAGTCAGGGTTTGCAAGGGACTAGATTTAATACAGGACAATTTATATGATTATTTTATAATAGTCACCCAAAGAGTCAAATGCAGAGGAGTGTTAGAGATCTGTCCACACACTACAGACACAAAGAATCCTGCTGAGGGCCTAGAGCCTCCAACAATGTCTTATGCAAGTCTGTATCAAGGATCCACACTGGGAAGGCCCAAAGATCAGTGGTGGAAGCTAGGAAGCCTGTCCCCGCAGGATGAAGGATCTGTGCCAGCAGGCTGAAGGATCTGCACTGGAGCCAGGAAGCGACATTCAAGGTAAGGACCAGAGCTCCCCTGAAAAGAACTGCAGCTCCTCCGGTGATGAGAACAGTTGAGTTCGTATCAGGAAAACCAGCATGACAAGCTTCTCCAGGAGGATCAACAACACGCTATCTTCCCCTTCAGTTCTTTTATGCTGTTGGTAACAATCCTGAGGGGGCCTTCCACACCCAGCACCAGGATGACTCAGTTTAGCTGGGTGTTACAAGCTGACCATTAGTTAATTCACCACACACAATTTCTACTAGGGTCAGCACACAGGCTAATTTAGGAAAAAATTGTGAATAACTTGAGAAATTTAAATCTTTAGCCTTTTATTTCAGCAAATACAAGAACAGTTACAGGTCTAGGGATGACAGTGACCTCATTCTGGTCAATGAGATATAAAAGGGAGACATACAAGGGTTATTTGGGGGAGTTTCCCTTAAGGAAGAGCTCATTGTCAAGAGAACCTCTCTGTTCTCTGCTTTGTGCTCTGAGGAGTTTCACGAGAGAAAGGTCAGCACATTTGCTACAGTCTTTTTGGTTTGTTTGTTTTAGACAGGGTCTCACTATGCAGTTCAGATTGGCCTTGGACTCACTTTGTAGCCCAGGCTGGTCTCAAACTTGCAGCAATCTTCCTGCCTCGGCCTCTTGAGTGATGGGATTACAGATGTGCATCACCACGCCTGGCCTATCTGCCGTAGTCTTGACAAAAAGCCAAACAAACTGTACAGATCCAACCAGAGTCTGACAATTTGAGTGTACAACCAATCTTTGTATAATTTATTCCATGTTTCTTTTAAGTGAAGAGAAAATAAAATCCCTATTTGTTTTGGTAATCTGTTATTGGGAGGTTTCTGTTTCTTGCAACTAAAAACACTTAAACTTTTATAGATTTGAATTTATTCTCTAATTTTTCTGATCTTTCCTTTAATATTTTCTATCTTCACTTTTATCTGTGTTTTGGAACATTTATTTTCAACATTTATTTACCTACATTACACATACATACATACTTACAGATGTCTGGATATATACATATAAAAACACTCAGTTTTTTTCTGCTATAATAGTTTTAGTTTCCAAGAGCTTCTTTCTTTCTTTTTTTATTCAGAGTACGAAGAATTTATTGAAAGATAGTCTCCATCTAAGATAGACAGAATGGTGCCTGAAAGTGCCTCTAAGAGCTTCTTTCTAGTTACTTTTGCTTTTTCAGAACAACTGTCAAGGAAGAGTGGAGAACTATATCTTTTCTTATCCATGATGCTAAGTATAATTAGTTTCCAAGTTTTCTTCTATTCCCTGCACTGTTTCTGAGTTCCTGTGGTCATTTTGCTTTCTTGTTCCTGTTAAAAGCTTTCCTCAAATACAGTTATTCTTAGCTATTCATTCATATTTAAGAGTTTAAAACTCTTAATATGCCAATACTAACAGTAACAATCTACAGATTCAATGCAGTCCCTAAATTCTGATGATGTATATATGGAAATGAAAAATCCTTTCTAAAATTCATACGAAGTCTCAAGGGACCCTGTACTGGGCACCTGTCCTGTTGCTGGCCAAACACCGGACACCTATAACTTAATGAAGGAGAGAGAAAGGTTCAATTTGGTTCACAGTTTCAGAGATTTTGGTCCATGACTGGCCAGTTAGGCATTCTCTTTTTTTCTTAACCTCTGTTTCTTCACCTATAAAATAGTGGCAACAAAAATTCCTAGAACCTACTGTCTAGCTTAAAGTAACTTAAAGATTATACAATAAATGCACTTCACATAGTACTAAAAGCAGAGTAAGCTCAAAGGTTTGTTGTTGTTGATCACTGTTCAAATAGTAAAAAGTAGGAAGAGTGTGTGATAGAGGAGGCAGTGAATCACTGCCATAGTGAGACATGGTGACTGGTGTAGATGCGTTGTATCTGAGTGGGGACAGTCCAAACACAGACAAAAGAGAAAAGAAAGAAGAGGAAATTATGTAAGTATGTATATACAGGATACCGAACATAGTTGTACTACTGACTTCTATCACTATTGAAAGGAACAGTTAATGATTACTTACTTGATCAATCTTGCATGTCTCTATTTGTTTTCCTGAGAAATCCCTTTGAAGATATCAGTACGTAATACAACCATTGTTAATTTCCTACCACTTTGCTTGTAACTCTGTATTGCTTGTATTGTTCTTATGCTATTTTGTAAATGGATGTCTGTTTAATATGTTTTCCTTCTTTTATTTTTAAAATAAATTAAAAACAAACAAACACAAACTGCTACTTACACTAATTCTGACTAACAAGGAATTATGTTTCTCATTATTTCTTTGCCTGGCATCCTCAGCTATTCAAGAGAAAGAGACAGCATAGAATACTAGAAAGCACACTAACTAGTTTGTATCCAAAAATAAGAATTCTAGTTCTAGCATTGATATTAACTAGTAGTGTGATCCATGATCAGCTATATATGAAGAGAAAATAACAGTTTACTAAGCTGGTACTTCCAAACTTCCAGGATTCTTTCCCCCCTCATTGATTGATTGATTGACTGATTCATTTATTTATTTATTTTGAGACAAGGGTTCACTCTATAGTTCAGGCTGGCCTTGAACTTCCTATATAACCCAGGCTGGCCTCAAACAGGCTGGGATTACTAAATCAGAAATTTAATCAGGAATCTTTCAACCTGTGCTTTAAAAACTCTGCAGCCAAACGGTAACGTGATCATTGATAACTCAGGGTTATTTCCACATGTGACTAATGATTATAACTGAGCCATCTTTTATATGGAGAAATAGTAAAGGGTAGTGGTGAGCAGTGTGGGCTGTAGAACCTGACTGCCTAGATTCCACAACAGCTTGCTGTCTGTGGAACCTGACTGCTGTCCAGAGGAAACTAAAGCTGAGGCTTATCTGTGATTATGATACTATGTACTATCTCACGGGATTAAGAACAATGACTAACTCTAAATTTACAATCGTGCTCTAGGCTTGACACAACCTCAAGGCACTATGGGAAAAGGTAGGCAATGTTGGGCTACTTTAAGATTGTAAGTTTTATCTTTCATAAGGAACCAGAAACCAATTCTGATGGAACTTGTTCTGGAAGAGATATTTCACAAAACTTTTTGCTATGGTAACTAGTTTTGCTGATCACCAAACAATGTGCTCTCTCTTCAGAGTATATTCTGAAGTCCATAGAGGACTTCTTCCTTCGTTTTGATGTTTACCAAATTAAAAAGTAATGTGCATGTACTGTAACAAGTAAAACCAGACTAAGACATATAGTAAAGGCAAAAATTAATCCTCTTTTAATATCTCCTACGAATGCTACCTTCTAAAATAACCAAGTTATCATACAAATACTTTTTACAAATTACTTTTTCTCTGTTTTAAAATGACTACAGATACGATATTCAAAAGCTTACCTCCAGGTATATTGATGGCGGATTATGCTCCCCACCAAATTTGTCCAATAGGGCCTCTATGTGTTCCTGCGTCAACTTAATCATTTGTTTGATATTCCATACCTAAAAAATATTTTAAAAGAATTTAAATAAAGATTTCTAGTATATGAGTTAAAATTTTTTAACATTATACAAAAATGATTCTATTTTCTGCTTCTATGTACTACATAGCCAAACATTAAGACACTGTGTCATGAATTTGTACTATGACAAATTAACTTTCAAGCCATTTCAAGTCTTAGAGGTTTTGCCGGCAATTGACACAATCTGACAGACACAGAAAGTGAGTACACAAGGGGCAAAGGGAAAACTGAGGGGCACACAAGGCATGGAGTTTCAACTCCAAAAGAAAGAAGCAAAATAAGGTGGGCCAGAGTATCCAGAAACAACTTTATAACACACTAAAAATCATTCCTAGGAACTGCTAGTTGATATGGCCAAGAAATTTAAATCATTTGCAGTTATATATCCCTTGTCAAGAATTAGGAAAATTGTAACAGAAGTAACTATCCAGTATTCCTCAAAGTCTAGAACTTAGAGATCATTTAGTACAGAGGCTTTTCCCCTTTTTATTATTAAACACCTTTAACTTTTTTCCTACAGTAGTGTCACAATATATTCTCAACTGTATTTAGAATAAATCAAGAGAATCTGTTCCACTTTCCCCAAATTCCAGGCTCCCCATCAAAAAGGTAAATGCTATTCACGGTTTTTGGCAAGCATCTTTTCTTGCTCTTATATACATATATAAAATATATAAATACATATAATTATATATAAAATATTTAACACTTTTTTCACTAAATAATATCTCAGAATTCTTTCCATATCAATATTCCTTTTTAATGGTTATATAAACATTAAATTCGTATTTTATGACATTAATAATTTCAATGGTCTCCAAACTTCAGTGATTACTAGGAGTTAGGTGACATGCATAATTTTAAGAAATCAATGTCCAGATCCCCAACCTCCTTCTGTACTCTCCCTAACTCATCTGTTTGAGAGCTAGTTCTTGTCTACCTTCCCCTTTAAAAATTATCATTTTCTACTTTATAAAAGGCAAAGTTCTTATCCATCCCTAATATGACAAGATACTCAGTTCTGAGATACAAAGCTTCCAAAGTAGCCAATAAAAAAAGAGACAAACGGAAAGAGAAATCCTTTCAAAGAAAAGATATAAATTATGAGCAGGCCTTTATTGCACATTTCAGGCTTTATTCATTTACCCAGCTGGCCAACCTAGAATTCAGAAGTCCAGTGTTATAATAAAGCTATATATATTATTATGTTTATTTTGTTTGTTTTTCTTCCAGGACCAGGAATTGAACTCATGACCTTGCGCTTGCCAGGCAGGTGCTGTGCCGCTAAATCCCCAGCCCTAAAATGTTTATTTTAAGACACGTAATAAATTAGATTCTTCCTGGTAAAAATGAGTTCCAATTTGGGTTGAAAATGAGAACTGGCCTGCAAATTAATTTATATGGTAGATATTATCAATAAACTAAGTGATCTTAATCTGCAGTGTTAAGTTTTTACCCCAAAAAATACTTAACATAAGTATAACACACAGTAGAAAGTATGGCTTTTAAACAAGTTACAATAGGGGGCTGGGGATTTAGCTCAGTGGCAAAGTGCCTGCCTGGCAAGCGCAAGGTCTTGAGTTCGGTTCCTGGTACCGGAGAAAAACCGAAAACCAAAACCAAAACCAAAAAAAAAAAAAAAAAAAAACAAAAAAAAACCCAATGAACAAGTTACAATAAAAAGATGTGATTTCACGTATAGTGACGTGCACTTGTAGTCTCAGCTTAGCTATGTTGGAGCCTGAGGCAGGAGTTCAAGGACACCCTGGACAGCACAGCAAGACTTCAACTCAAGCGAAAAGAAACAAGAGGAAGGAAATAATAGTTTACAAAGGGAAATAAGTGAGTAAAAGGGTCTCAAGACTCTTGGTTTATTTGTCTTATTAAGGGACATTTGGATTGTTTCATTTCTCTCAACCTCCAACAGTATTTCAATGAATGGTGCTGAACTGCTTTTCTGGGAAAAAGTGCAAGTTTTCCTTTTCAGTAGTTAGGTATAAGATTCCTGGCTTGAAATATATCAGTACGTACACATATACTTTTTTTGTTTTCAGTGCTGGGGCTTTAGTGCTGCTGAAGAAGTGCTCTACCACTGATCCACACTTCCAGACCTACATATTTAAAATTTTAATGAATATGTCAAATTGTCTTCCAAAGAAAGAAATGCATCAAGTCTACAGGGTATGAATCCACCCTTTTCTCCAAAAACTTACCAACATTAAATGTTATCAAACTTCTAAACTTTTATCAGCCTGAAAGGGAAAAAGGAATTATGCTGTTTTAATTTGCATTTCCTATAAAACTGAGGTTTTTAAATTGTTAATTATATTTATTTTTTGAAAATTTTCTATGCCATATTCCCTTTTGTTCTATTGAGTTTTGTTTTTTCATACTGATTTATAAGTACCCTTTACTAAGGCTATTAATCCTTAATTCTTCTGTAAATATTAAAGTCTTCTACTGTTTTCACTTTGTCTTTTCGTCATATGGTCTTGCTATTCAAACAGTGGCTCACAGGCCAGCAGCATCACCATCTTTTCTAAGTTTGTTAGGACTTCAGAACCTCCAGCCCCATCTCAGACCTACTGAACTTCAGCAAAGTGATTCGTACAGACATCAAAGCTTGAGAAACAAACATAGATTGGTAAATTCTTTCTACAGTCAAATATTACGGCATTTCCTTTTAGAGTGCCTTTGCTGATTTCTCATATCTCCACAAGGTGTTAGATGTCTTCTTTTTTCTAATGGTACTTACTCCCTAAGTGGTATCATTCACTTTTGTGTCTTTATATGCCTACTATGAACTGATAAAATCCAAAATTAAAATTCAGCTGTCTTCTCTTGACTCCACGCTTTTTCCAAGTGCCTAGTGAACATCTCTACTAGGATAACAGGCATCTCAAAGTTAATATATTCAACAAAGAACTTCTGGTCTTCTCCCCAGCCCACCCTCCAAAAAACTTATTTTTTTCTAGTCTCTTCACATCAGAAAATGGCAAACTCTGTTATCTGAGTTGCTAAACCAAGAAAACATCACCCGTAACTTTTTTTCTCACTGACACCCAATCCATCTCTATATCTAAACATATGCAGACACCTTCACCTTTACCTCTGGTCTAGGACATCCTCGCTTCTTAGTTCATCCCAACAGTCTCTGAAGTGGTCTCTCCTGTTTCTTGCCTAGCATGGCCACTAATATATATTTTTTTCAGTTTTAATTGACAGTAATTTTACACCTTTATGGGGTATGACATTCAACACATATGAATACAAGTGCAATGATCATATCAGTAAATGGCATATTTATCATCTCAGAAATGCTCCATTTCTTTGTGTTGATAACATTCAAAATCCTATTGCTGGGGATATAGCGCAGTGGCACAAGTGCCTGTCTGACAAACGCAAGGTCTTGAGTTTGATTCTTGGTACAAAAAAAAAACAACAAAAAACAGCTTATTAGCTGTTTTGAAGTATTCAATAAATTGTTGTCAACCAGTAATCCTACTTTGCTATAGAACCTTAAAGTTATTTCACTCATCCTATACCTCTATACTCACTAATCGTTCTCTCTCCATTTGTCCCTCTTCCTAGGATCTAGTAAATACTATTCTATTCTTTACTCATCTTAAACTTCAGATTCCACATACATGCTAAGTGAAAACATGCAGTATCTGGCCTTTAGTGCCTGACTTATTTCACTTAACATATAGCCTCCAGTTCCATCCATATTGCTGCAGATAACAGAACTGCTTTCTTTTTCATGTCTATATCCAACTGTGCATATATACCTAAACTGTATATATGTTTATATATATATAATTTATATATAATATATATGTATATATGTATTTATATATAATATATATGTATATATGTATATGTATATGTATATGTATATATATATATATAGAGAGAGAGAGAGAGAGAGAGAGGGCAAGAGAGAGAGCGAGAGAGAGCGAGCCAGGTGTGGTGGTGCACACTTATAATCCCAGCTATCTGGGAAAGTTGAGGCAGGAAGATTTCCAAGTTCAAGACCAGCCTGTGCAACTTAGCAACTTAGACCCTGTCTCAGAAATAGTTTAAAAATTTTTTAGAAGGTCTATGGAGGTAGCTCAGTGTGAAGGCCCTGGGTTCAATCCTTAATACTTCAAAACAAAACCAAAAAACTATAACCATAGATCACATGTCAGTCTTTTACTGAAAACTGATCCCAAGTAAAAACCACCACTGATCCCAGTGGATGCCAAGTAAAAATCACCCAGGTCTTTACAGAAGTTTAGAAAGCATTGTATGATTTGGCCCTCTGCTACGTGCTTATCTTCATCTTCTGCTGTTCCCCTCAGGCCTCTGTCTCTGATTACTCTTGGCCATATTGAATGTGCCAAGTATACTCTTAGGGCAGGATCTTTGAATTTTCTATGCCTTCTGCCTGCAATGCTCTTCCCCTAACTTTGCTACCCTACCTAGAAACCTAAGATTTCAACAAGGTTTGCTACCCTACCAAGTTCATTCATCTTTATGCCCATGTCACCTTATCAATAAGGTATTCTCTGACCATTTATTTAGATTGATACAAACTGCCTTTATCCCTTCTCATCCTCAACAGTACACAGAAAAAATTTCAGATCCCCTTTGCTAACTTTCTTTGTCCTGTAACACACGTGACAACATACTATATGTACTTTACTTGTTTATGTTGTTAACAGCATGTAACCTTTCCAATCCCACAGAATGAAATTCAAAAGACAGAGATTGTTTCATTTTGTTTTTTGAGACAGCGTCTATGTAGTTTAGGTTGGCCTTGAACTCACAGCCCAGGCTGACCTCAAACTTATGGTGATTCTCCTGCCTCAGCCTCCTGAATGTTGGGATTACAGGTGTGTGCCACTGCGCCTAGCAAAGACAGAGATTTTTGTTTTTTATTATATATATATATGAGAGAGAAAGAGAGAAGGAGGAGCAGGAAAAATGTATATACAT